TTATTATTATTATTATTATTATTATTATTATTTTTGTACCAGGGATTGAATTCAGGGGCACTCAGCCACTGAGCCACATCCCCTGCCCTATTTTTGTATTTTTATTTAGAGACAGTTTCTCACTGTGTTGCTTAGAACCTCACCATTGCTGAGGCTGGTTTTGAACTTGCCATCCTCCTGTCTCAGCCTCCTGAGCCACTGAGATTATAGGTGTGTGCCACGGTGCCCTCAAGATCAGCTTTTCTCTAATGCCACAATTTGCCAGTTGTTAAGTATAAATATCAATTAACTAATGATGTTTTCATGCTAAATCTTATGATTTTGAAATTCAAAAATCCTGGATATTTTGTTTGTGTACTCTAGCATAAAGCATAAAAAAAACCTTTTCATATGCTTCCTGGGGAGTAAAAAAAACAGAAAGGGTAAAGATATTTAAAAGATTATTAAAAAAACAGGCAAAGTGAAGACAGAAAAATCATAATCAACATATGGAATAGATTTTGTGAAGAAGACGGCAGAGTAAATGGAACAGAAAAGTATTCAAACATATCTTTGCATTCAAAGAGTATTTATTGCACATCTACTAGGTACCTTTAGATATAGGAAAAATATTGACCAAATATATAAAAGACAACTTTCTCAACTAAATAAAAACAAAATTGGAGATTAAAAAGGTAGTTTATCTTAGAAAAAAAAATAAAATGTGTAATGTAGGATAATTGGCATTAAGATATATGTAGGTTAAATTATTGAATTTTAGGAAGAAAAACTCAGTGGTCAGAAAATGAAAATCTTTTTTTTTTTTTTTTTTTTTTTAAAGAGAGAGAGAGAGAGAGAGAGAGAGAGAGAGAGAGAGAATTTTAGTGTTTATTTTTTAGTTTTTTGGTGGACACAACATCTTTGTATGTGGTGCTGAGGATCGAACCCGGGTCGCACGCATGCCAGGCGGGAGTGCTACTGCTTGAGCCACATCCCTAGCCCCAAAATGAAAATCTTATCCAGGGAAAAATCTATTTGGCCTCAGTCTTCTTAATAGTACTAATTGGTTTCTGAAGATACTAGAGCAGTATCGAACAGTATCTCAGTAGTTTGGTCATTCCAGTGGAAAGTCGTGAAACAGATTTTTAAGTTATATGGCTTCAATGAGTCAGTCAGATCTACTTGTTGACAAAATTCAGACCTCCAGAGATGAATGAGGATGTCATGATGTGTGGAGTAGTGGTAGAACCCATGGAAACAGAGACCAGAAAACAATGGAGAATTATGTCTGTAGAACACACTGTAATGATACAAACCTTGACAATATAAAATTGTTATATGAATAATAAATAGTGGGAATGAGAGAGGCAGGGTAAAAGGAAGTATAAATGTTAATTTCCACATCTCAAAGCAAGTTATTAAATAATAACTTGACATAGGCAATTAAAAAAGAATTTCAAGCACAGTTTTAAAAAATAACCCTATATCTTAGTTCTGGGACTTTTTATAAATAAAATCCCTTGCATTTGAATCCTTTCTTAAGAATTAGTAATTTTTCAGTTGCTCATCAGTATCTTATAGTTAATATAAAACAAAATATACAAGGAAAACTAATCTTGTATTCAAGGTATAGTCTTTAATTTGATCCCAGAATGTGAGCATTACATCTAGTCAAATTTTCCTTTGAAAATCTTTGTTTAGTGAGTCCAACACAGCCAGGTTAAAATCTCCAGCTTTGGAGGAAGTGACCAGTTCATCAGTTGGGTAGTAGGCAAAGTGGTAAATTCATATTTGAGGCCACCTTAGGCAAAGAATCTTTTTGATTACCAAGACCCAAATTTAGTGCTTTGAAATGCTTGCCCTCCTACAGGGCCCACTGTTATAAAAAATGAATGAAGAACAAAAGATGGAATTCTCTTCTTTCATTCTCATTGTTTGCAGGGAACCTAAGTTGAATTGTCTGACTTTACACATTTTT